GATTCCCAGCCCATTTGAGGCCGTTTTTACCCTCCCGGAGGCTCGAGGGAAGCCTCTGCAGCCTCGGGAGGCTGAAAACCAGGCCTTCCGGAAATACCCGAAGTGCCTAAACGGACCCGTTTTTCGGCCTCTCGAGCCTGCAGAGGCTTCTCTCGAGCCTCCGGGAGGGTAAAAACGGCCTCAAATGGGCTGGGAATCAGCTGGGAGGTGCGTGCATACACAGTGCAGGTAAGGGGAGGGTGTTGTGCGCGCATGTGCAGGGGGGTGGGGGCAGGGTGCATTGTATTGTGGATGCCGACATTTTCGGCACACCACCACAAAAAGGTTCGCCATCACTGGTCTAGAGAAAAAAAAGGACCAGAGGGGACATGATAGCAGTGTTCCAAAGAAGAGGGAGGGTCAACTTATTTTCCAAAGCACCTGAAGGCAGGACAAGAAGCAAACGGATGGAAACTAATCAAGGAGAGAAGCAACCTGTAACTAAGGAGAAAGTTCATCACAGTGAAAATAATTAACCAGTGGACACTAGATTATCCAAGGTGGACCACTTTTAAACATGAAGCTTGCTGGTCTTATTCGGCCTGCAACTGTCCGGTTACTGAAGGAGGAAGCCACTCCCTCCAAAGTCCACGTATGGCTCCATGCTAGAGGATTGTTGAACTGAGGCATAGTAGAAATCTAGAGCTCTGCCCAACCAAGGTTACCATCCCAGCTACCATCCTATGAGGTAGCCTAAGGCTGTTAAGACCAGCCGTTGTCAAGGGTCCCCCTACTTGCTACCAGTTGATTTAGTTTCTTCTTAAAAGTTCCCCAGATTAATTGCTTGTCAGCATAGCTGGAGTTAATGCCCTCCATAGTTTCCCCATTAGTTAAGAGTCATCTCCTTTGTTGCTCCTGAATTGCCTTGTGTTGAATAGATTACCTTGATTCTTAACCGGGTGAAAAAGATAAAACTTTTATTTTCTGCAGCGTATAAGGTTTTATGTACCTCTAACGCAGGGGACTTCAAACGTGACCGCTTTAAGGCTTGTGGACTTCAACGCCCAGAATTCCTCCTCTAGTCATATTAGCTCAGGAATTATGGGCGTTGAAGTCCACAAGTCTTAAACTGGCCAAATTTGAAGACCCTTGATCTAACGTGTTCCCGTTGCCCCAGATTGAAGGGTTACATATGGGTTTCCCCAAAACTCCTCTCTTCCTCTCATATAGTGAGGAATGCCTCTTTTGAGACAATGCCCGCTGTGATTTACACAGAAAGGAAATGTATTTTCTCCCCACTTACCATTTTAAGGCAAAAACAGCCAATGCAATTTAACCGATTAATAGATTAGATCTCAACTGAAGTGATTATTTCCTCAACCTGGAAACAGCAATTAGCGGGCCTGCAGGGCCTGCTCTGTTCTTTCTTATACGCCAGTGGCCTTCAAATTTGGCAACTTTTAAGACTTGTGGACTTCAACTTCCAGAATTCCTCCTCCGGTCATGTTAGCTCAGGAATTCTGGGAGTCGAAGTCCACAAGTCTTAAAGCTGCCGAGTTTAAAGAGCCTGGTGCTAGAGTCTCAAGTGTTTCTCCACCTTGCCAAGTTTAAGATGGACCTTGACTCCCAGAATTCCCCTGAGATACTTCTTGAGAAGGTTTGAGGTTGAGAAAGACTGACATAAGACTTGTAACCCTTAAAGCAAGGGTCTTCAAACTTGGCAGCTTTAAGACTTGTGGACTTCAGCTCCCAGAATTCCTCCTCCAGTCATGTTAGCTCAGGAATTCTGGGAGTTGAAGTCCACAAGTCTTAAAAGTTGCCAAGTTTGGCGACTCCTGCACTAGATTCTAGAACAGGGGTGGGCAAACTACGGCCCGCGGGCCACATCCGGCCCATTGGTCTTTTTAATCCGGCCCGCCGAAGATTGGTACAGAATTAAGGTTTGATGTGAATGATTGAATGATTGCATTCATTTGATTTTGACTTGTAATGACAGGCATTTCGACACCAGGTGGCGGCCCATCTGTCCAATTTTAAAAGTCAATGAGGCCCCCAAGCCAAAAAGTTTGCCCGCCCCTGTTCTAGAATATAAAAAGAGAATAACCACACCCACTTCTAGCACTGATGATGTTACCTAGCTGGTTGATGAAACGTCTAAACCAGGGGGTCTTCAAACATGACAGCTTTAAGACTTGTGGACTTCAACTCCCAGAATTCCTCCTCCAGTCATGTTAGCTCAGGAATTCTGGGAGTTGAAGTCCACAAGTCTTAAACCTTGCCAAGTTTGAAGACCCTTGTTATATGCTTATTGCCTGAATTACACTCAACCAAGAGCCTCCTCAACCTCCTGCCAGCACAACTAGTAAACTCGAAAGCTTCCTCCCCCACTCCATGGACCCCAACCCGTCCCTGGCAAGAAAAGGTTAAGCCAATGGACCACCGACCTAGCTTACCGAGAGTCTGCTGGTTGCGGACCCCACCAATCACCACACAAATTTCTGCAGGCACCTCGGCTACCCCGCCGCCTTTCTTCTTCGGCTCTTTTGTGTCATCCTGCCAGACCACCTCTTGAACATAGTCATCGGGCACTTCCGTCTTCACCTTCACCTCGGTCATTACTGCCGCATCCTCATTAGGCGACGCTTGAGGCATGGCTGAGTCGCAACCTTCTCCTTTCATAATTTTCTGGCTCCTCTTCAAGCGCTCTCTTGGGTGAGGGGGAAAAAACAGAATTTTAGGCCCCAAAGAGCCGACTGGAGCTTCCCAAAAGAGCGTCTCTTGGCTTACGTGCCCCTGTTCTGAGCCATGCCCTTTTCCAATAAATCAAACACAATCCAAAAGGAACAGGAACCTTGTAATGCTTTTACAAAATAATTAGCTGTGATAAACACAAGCCTTGCCAAACTGTGCGAGACTTGCAAAAAGATAACAGGCAAAAAATAATTTGAAAATAAGAATCTTCAAATACAAACTAAGGATACTGGAAAGTCCACGAGGCTGGAGTTTCAAAACGTCTTTGCCTTCTGCAAAGAAGATTAGTTTCACAGCTGGCTTTTATCTTCTTGAAGGAGTCATTACCTTGCAGACTTACTCCCGAGTCGCCCGTGCTGTTGTAATTGCTCTCTCCTACGAGCAGCCCTGCGCACACGCGCACTTAGCACAGGCTCCTCGGGAACCTTCTCATCACTGCTGCCAGCCCCCACAATCACTAAAGGCAGCAGTCCACTCCCTAATGGTCCTGGCCCCTCAACTGAGTCCTCGCTCTCCTCAGCCGTCTGCACTTGTTGCCGGCTAACCACAACAGCCCCTGAATTTATGGATAAGTGGAATACTTCCACAGATGTGGGGTTTTTTTTCTTTTTTAAACGGTCTTCTAGGCTAAACAAATGGCTCGTCGCTGTATTTGGTTAACTAAAAACATCTGCATGTCCTTCAGATGGGTTCACCTGGGACTGCCCACACCTTCCATGATTCATTGCCATGGGCCAAGAGAAAAGGAAGAAGCTTACTTCTATCTGCAAAATGTAAGGAGTGTTTAATTAATTTAACCACACGTGCTACTCTCCTCTTAAGCAGCTCACAATATTGCTGAATGCCCAACAAGCAATTGCCAAACAGTTGGAAAAACTTCAAGGTGGGCGTAGAATAGCCACAAAAATATTATTTGGCTCCCTAAAAGCAAAGAATTGGCAAGTTCTCTCTCCTCCACCCCATGCCTACCCCATTCCCTTCAGACCCTGAAAGAGACAAAAGATGCTGTAAAGTGGAGAAGAAGCAGCAAAAAGAAAGGATGCATCAGGGAGACAGAAACAAATCTTGTAAGCTTTTCGATCAACTTTTTCTTCTGAACAGAAAACCCCATTTTTTTTTCCAGTCGTGTTTGGGACAGGATAAGGTCCTTTGATTTGGAGCGGACTCCCACCCCGTGGAGAGATAGGGAGGGGGCCCGAGCTCTCACCAGAGAAGCCGACAGGCCTGGCACAGCTCCATCTAGAGAAGATCAGCCAGGCCGAAGCCCAGCTGATGGCGAAGGGTGACTCCAGCCCTCTCCAAAAGCAGCAGAGGGCCTGGCCAGGAGCACTGAAGTCGCCCGGTGGGCCCCAAGGTGGACCTACCTGCCCACAGAGGCTCTCGTCCCAACATTGCCACCGCTGCTGCTGCTGCTGCCGCCGCTGCCGTTGCTGCCGCCCTCCACCTAGAATGGGAGCAGCCAGAGAGGAAGGTCAGAGGTCTGGAGAAGCGGCCGAAATAAGGAGCTTGGAATAATGCAATGAAACCCGAAGCGCACGTCACGGACAATTAAGAGCGAACACAAATTAATGTCCATTCCCTCCCAAAATAGCGACCTTCCGTAACACAGTCCCCAGAGTCTCAAGGAAACCTTTTTTTAAAAAGGTCAGACACTAGGAAAATCCACCTGCTCAGGAACACAGGCCTTCCTTCCTTCCTATCTCTACCTATCTATTCATCTAC